GGTGGAGTCTAGGCCTTACCTAAACCCCCAAAGTAGGTAAAATAGTGGCCCAAAACCCTTAAACATAGCCCAAAAGGCCATTATTCTACATACTTTTGGGGTCCAGGTAGGCAAGAGGGGGGTATAGGCGAGTGAAAAACAAGAGGATCGTGTAAGACGTAGAGGCCACGTCTCCAGGAGCTGAAGGCGAAATTCAAGGCATTTTGGACGTCTACCCTACCCTCCTACCCCCCACATCAAAGGGTGCCACTTTGAAAAAGGGAATGGCGCAACAGCTGCTGGGGTTCGATGTGAAGGTAGGTAGCTTGTAAGTTGAAAGTTGAAGGTTAAAATTGCCCAAAAAATGCGAATACCCTATTATTGACTATTGAGTGGCATGGTCATGCAGGTACTACACCCTGAGCCCTAAACCCTGAACCCTAAACCCCGAACGCTGAGGCCTCAGCCGAACCATGAAGCCTACACCCGAAACCTCAAATCCTGAACCCTAAACCCTAAACCCCTAAAACCCCTAAAACCCCTAAACCCTAAACCTTAAACCCTAAACCCTAGTGTTCGGAGTTCCAGGCAGAGGAGAACACAGTGGCGGATTCCAAGGATGAGGTGTTGGCTCCCTAGCATCTAAACCGGCCACAGAACCCCACTGCAACAATTCCAATTTTTGTAGGGTTTAGGGTTTAGGGGAATATAATAACCAAACATTAGACGGAGGCCCCTTTTATTCGTGGGGTTCTCAAAGTTGTGGCCCTTAGGTCAGTTTAAAGCACGGATCAGGGCTGCTGGTGTGCAAACTTGTACTGGCATACTTTGTCAGGTCACTTCGAACCTAACGGCAAAGAGGCGTCCTCTCCAATGTTATAGCCCCCCTTAAGTAGATAGAATATGGCTTTGGATAAATTACAGCAAGAATTCCCATATTCCCCATATTCTATCTACTTAAGTCGGACTGTAACGGGCAAGAGACGTCCTCTCCAATGTTAGGCAGTTCTGCCATGTGAACCATAGCGTAAATTCCTAGTATCCCCCTTGATAGCCCCTATAGTCGTTCCCTATATAATCCCCTATATAACACCCCTTTAGGGAGTTTAGACCCTAAACTCTAAACCCTACATTATATAACCCCCTTTAAGGAGTTTGGACTATAGCTCATGTACTTTGAGACGCCCCCATTTTCAGCCGGAGCTCTTCTGGTTGTCTTCGTGGGTGGTCAGGATCATCGAACGACGAGTAGGGATAGTTGTGTTGCGTTCCTCAGGGCATAGGGTTTAGGGTTAAGGATTTTAGGGTTTAGGTTAGGAGGACCCCCCACCCGGTAATAGCGGTGTAAGAGGACTATAAGAGGACCCTAATATAATCCTTCTTATCCCTTATAGTCACCATTACAGGGTGGGGGGTCCACCTAGGGTTTAGGGTTGCTGCTTAGATGCAAACCTCTAGGTGGGAGTTTCTCAATGCATCCCTTGCATCATGCATCAGCGGGCCAGGTGATCCTGCCAAAATCCCTCTAGATCCAATGGATCTCCGCAAGGGTCCAAGGACCCAAATAATAGGGCTTTAGGGCCCAAATACCATTAACATTAATGGTATTTGGGCCCTAAAACCCTATTATTTGGGTCCATGGACCCTTAGGGTCTGTGTCCCACCTTGCTATGTCTCCAAACGCGCGGCCACGTACACTGAATTGCTGTCACGGACCTTAAGTTACGTTATCATCACAACGAACCATATCGGCTACTATCTTTCTATGCATGGTAACTTAGTTCAAAATCCTGAACAACCCCGCACAGCAAGGCGCCATCATGTGAGCTATAGTCTAAACTCCTACTGTTGATGCTAGAAATCCTGCATGACCTAAGTATACTATAGTACCATTATTCCCAAGGTTCAGGGTACTTGGGATCATGCAGGATTTTTTAGTATCCACCGTAGTATCCCCCTTAATAACCCCTATAGTAGTCCCCTATATAATCCCCTATATAGCCCCCTTTAAGGAGTTTAGACTATCGCTCATGTGTACCAGGACCTCTCATGAATCCACTTCTGGCATTACGGGTTTAGGGTTTCGGTCTCAGGGATTTCTTATAGACTGATGCCGGTTTGTCCCCGTGAGGCCGAGTATCAGACAACTGCGCATCTGGGATTCTGGCAATTTGGCAAAGCTCTACAGGGGTAATTAGGCATGGGAATTGGGGTCCCAATTGGGGTGTTGCGAAGCCCTTGAGCCCTACACCCTCTACCCCAAGCTCTAAACTGGGTTGCTGTTAAGGAACCTTAATCAAGTTGCCATATCATAGGTAATTACATATTCAACAATGGAGATCCCTCATGATATCAACATAGTTTAAGGTCCCTGATAACAGCCCTGAACCCGAAACCCTACAAGCCAAAAAATGGTGTGGCTGACTCAAGCAAGCAGCGATTACCCTGGACATAGCGCCGTTCGCAGACTCATAGCCAATGGATCTGTGCTGGGGGTTGACTTAGGGTGTACGGTTTAGGGTACGAGGGTGAGGGCATATATGGGGGTTTCCCAAAATTCGGGCTCTTTCTTGGGGCCCACATTTTTGGGATTAACATGTTTGGGGGTCTATATTGGCATCCCCTCCTTTCATGAAACTACCCTTTGAGCTATAATCTAAACGCCTGGTATCCCCCTTAAAAACCCCTATAATAGTCCCCAATATAATCCCCTATATGACCCCCTTTTAAGGAATTTAAAGTATGGACCATTTGGAGTAGGCTGAAGGCCGCTAAGGGATAAGTGGCCAGCCTGCGTACATAGGGCCTGGGGTCAAAGGCTTTGGGTAGGTTTTCGCATGGGAGTCTGATTGCATGCACTCAATACAGCTCGATTTCCCATGATAAGGTTTGGCCTATAAGGTTTGGCCTGTACCAGGACCCTCCTTGTGCCCTGAATTGGGGATATATGGCCCCTAATAGTAGGTACTTAGGCACTATAGAGGGTAGGAGGAGGGTCTAGGTAAGGTTGGCCTGTAGGTTTTGGTAAGCACCAATCAATTTAACGTTTTATTTGTTGGCAATAGCCCAGAACATTCATGGATGCGATGCCCAAAGACCTGACAAGTTTTCACTTGGGAAGCAGGAGGGGGGGTGAATAAGCTGAAAACAAGCGACCTTAGCAACTGAGAGCAATGGGATCCTTATTGGAAAGGCAACACGGCTGGGGGCCCACATTTTTCAAAAACCCTGAACTTGCTCTTCTGCAACTCAGTTCACCAGCCGTTCTCGGAAGAACATACAGAAAAGACACACACGTACACACATTGGGAGGATGTCTCGAAATCAGGGGAACCACACATTTCGAAACCACCGAAAAATCCAAACTATTTCGAGAAATCTCATTTCTACTTGAAGCCAAGGGGCAACGGCGTAACGTCCAGCCTGGATGCCGGCTTTGGTCAAGTTGCAGAAAACACATCCCTAAGGCTCCAAATAACCTAACGCAGGTAGCATTTGTAGGCATTAGGGCTCAGCGCAAATATTATTAAGAGACTTACAGCCCGAGGGCATGTGACAACGCTGCAACGTTCGGTTGCCCCAAGCTAACGTTAACACCATGGTTGAGCCACGTACGAGTGTAATCTTCCGAAGCACTATCACACGGAACCTGTAAAGGGTGCCCTATACAGACTGCTGTCCTTCCTGCTTGGCGTTCCATGGAATTCCATGTGAGTAGTGAGTAGTGTTTTCTTGGTGGTTAAGCCCAGTAAGATTATATTCCTTATGTAAAATACTATACCCCAAAAGGAGGATAGAATCTTACTCTATAGTGACTACCATCGTATCCCCAAATAAAACACTGAACATGTTAGTTGGGGAAGGGCGATGACTAACATGCATCCATCATGCGGTTGATGCCCTAACCTTAACCAAACCCCAATCCCTAAACCTCGCACCCCAATCCATATTTAGGGTTTAAGGTTTAGGGTTCAGGGTTTAAGGGTTTAGGGTTCAGGGTTTAAGGGTTTAGGGTTTAGGGGTTTAGGGGTTTGGGGGTTTCGGGTGTGGGGTTTACGGTTTAGGGGTTTAGGGTGTAGGGGTTTAGGGTTTAGGGTTATAGTGCAAACTCCAAGTATCCCCCTTGAAAACCCCTACCATACTCCCCTATATAACCCCCTTTTAGGAGTTTAGACTACAGCATATGATGCCTACTTGCAAGCCTCATGAGCGCTGCACGGATTCACTGAAAGTCCGTTTTGGGTTTAGGGTTTAGGATTCAGGGTTCACTGCTAAACCCTAAACCCTAATTCAAGGGTTCAGGGTTTAAGGGTTTAGGGTTTAGGGCTATGTATGGCGTCCCTTGGATCCCCTAGCAATGGCAGAAGACCCCTTGGGTGACTTTGGTGCCTTACCCTGAGGGTCCAGGGACCCAAATAATAGGGGGTTATAGTGGGGGTTGTAGGGCCCAAATACCATAATATTAATGGTATTTGGGGCCTAAAACCCTGTTATTTGGGTCCTTGGACTCTTAGGGTTCTTGTGCGGTGGCACAGCCAACACTTCCGGAATTTCATACGTTCACCTTCCAAAATTTGCAAATTTGAACCTTTCATCGTGTCCGCAAATTTCAGAGATTCCAGTATTATATGCACATATATGCTTGTACGCGCAGGTGTATCTGTATCGAAGCTTGGGAAACCTAAACATTCCAGGACATCAAAGCATGCCAGCTGATCGAGGTAGGGCGGAGGGAGGGAGGGAAGAAATGCGCGTGTGTGTAGTGTGTATAAATATAAATATATATATATATTTACATATGAGCCATTGTCTAAACTCCTAGTATCCCCCTTAATTAATAAGCCCTATAGTCCCCTATATAATCCCCTATATAACCCCCTTTAAGGAGTTTAGACTATAGCTCATATGCACATAGA